TGTTTAAAGGCCTGGGAGGACATGGTAGTTTTCCACTCTGGCATATTGCATGATCTGGTGGGCTGAGTCCCAGGGGCAGGTGGGGTAGTGACATCATATTGCCAAGATCAACTCTTCCAGTACATTATTAGCTCATAACAATACTTCTCCCAGTCTCATCTTTGTAGTTAGGGAAACATGGGTTTAAATCAGCTGCCTTGAGTCTCCTGCTGTGTAAGCAGAGAAGCCAGCATAACTTGGAATCTGGCTCAAGAGTCCGTAGCATTCTGTTGTGGGCACAGAGAACTGGGGAAGTGGTTGCTGCCAGGCTAGCTTGAGCAGTATCTTACAGCAGCAGTTACCATTGAGTTTCACTAGTAGGAAAGAGGCTAAGGCCTAGCAGTGGATACAGAAAATGCCAGCATTGGGCAGGCTGAAGGTAGGGTGTTCTGATGAAAAGTAGGGGGAACCTATCTTAGAAAGGTAACTGGCAAGTGGAAGTAATGCCCCTATATCTCGTTCCCAGGAATTGAGTATTGTTGCCCCATAGTGCTACAGGACAGGGTGTGTCACATGTGGTGGCATTGTGAAGAGATGAAAATAAAACTGGTCAGACATTCACTGAGAGAGAGATGGGTCAGGACAGAGAGAGACTGAGAAGGGTGAGGGCTTTTCCTGCAGGCCTGGGTGGTAAGTGTGGCTCTGAGCAGCATCTTATGGGACCAGCTGGAGAGCACTGGGCATCTTCAGTCCTGCCTCAGATCCCAGGAAACTGGTAAAGTTATAGGGCTCCACAGAATCTGGGAGACCAGGAAGTGTTGGTTTGAAGTTATAAGGATGTAGGCTTTCACTGAGTACAAAGGAAGCCTTATTTTAGATAGTGACATTTAATGACTGTGGCTACAGATCATGAACTTCCTCTGCCTCCACAGTGTTCAAGCAGAAGTAGGTGGGCCGTTGTGGAGGGGAGCCTCAGTACATGGGGTGTATGGTTCTCAGTCTCTTTCACTGTGTGACATTGCTTCAGTCAAATATATGCGCCTGTGCATTTCCTTGGGGATGGATGGACAATACAATCACTATTTTAAGAGCAAGCTCTGCATCTGTCACTTGATAGCACTGTATTTACATGGTGATGAGCATTTATCTTTACATTAACTTTGTATAATCTGTGCATCTGAAAAGACAGAAATCAGTTTCTTGGTGTCACTGTTCCACATGCAAATTTTAGATTTTTATTGTTTATTGCAGATGGAATCAGTCTCTGCATGCTTGTCCCTGACCTCGCACTTCACACTCTCAGGTCTGTGTAGTATCTTCCTGTACATAGCTTCATCTTTGAGAGAATCCTGGCTACATTCTGCAGCATAGTAGGAGGCTGGTTTCAAAGGGCAGAATTATAACATATTAAAAGATCTAACTGGATTTTATTTGTGATTCTAGAATCAGGCAACATTTCATTGTTTAGGCAGTCTTATGGACAAAAGAGGGATGAAGACTATAGAAATAAGAATGGAGGAAGAATGGGTTGATTGTTCAGTTACTTTCCCTATAGAGTTAAAAGAGAAGGAACTTTATTTTATCATGCCAGCCCAATTAAACTGGGCCTTTTTTGATTGGTGAATCTAAGATAATCAAAGAGTGGTGGGGTGGGGGAATTGCTGTTATTTGTGCTACTAATATGCTTTATACCAAAATTTTGTATTTAACATTTTAATGAAATATGTTTCTCTGAAGCTCATAGTGGCTACATGTTCTATACAGTTTGAGAGTCTTGTAAGTGAATAGAATTTAATGTGTGAATAGTTAGGGTTTGAAGAGAATGTAGAATTTGAGCCTGGTTAAAGAGGTGGTGCTAGGGAATGAAGTACGGAACAGGCTTTCTGTAGAGAGCCTATGTAAACACTGTATGTGCTAGCTTCTGATTTCTGGAAAATTTAGAGGCTTAAGAGAGATCGCAAGGACCAAAATCGTAAACAAATCCAAATACAATTAGATTAGAAGAATATCAGCAGATTAACAGTCATTTTGACACAACCTATTCTCAGGTTAAACGTTTTCACAAAAAAGATTCTTTATTTCATATTGACTCTAAAATAGTGAATAAGTAAGACTATGGGCTTATTACTAGGGAAAACCTTATTATCCTTGACCTTGTAAAATGCCTTCTAGAACAAAATTAAATATTTTATGAGAAAAATTCAGTTGTCTTTTGTGTCACTGTGCAGTGACACATAACCAGAAAGTAATTTGTATGCTTTGGAGGTGAATTGTCTGTAATGCAATTGAAATTTCCTGAACTCATGTTATTACTACAAACTATCTGGTCCTCCTTCCACCTTATTTTTAGAAAAAAAAAATTTAAGCAGGTAGTTAATTATCCTGGCTTGGCTTTGGTCTATGTTTGTTCCCTAAATTATGATTTAATGTTAGGGTTAGTTGATAGCATTGTGCAGAAAATATAAGTGCATCTTTGGTGGGATTTTTGAGGGAGGGTTTCCATAAAGATAAGTTTGTTCCTTCATTCATTCTTCTAATCAACAAATAGCTAGAAGGGAGGTGGGCCTTATTGTCTGCTAGAGCATCACAAACACAAGACCAATTTAGAAATTACAGGGCAGGTGTGTTCTTGCTTCATAGGGGGGCACTGCCAGCACAATATAGAGATTAAACCACAGATATGACCAGAATTGGAATGATGGTGTTTCATCCAAACATGCACCTCTGAGCTGGCAGTATTGCACCTCTTAGTAGAGATGTTGTGTTTCATACTTTATAGCCTTGACCTATAACTTCAAAGGACTGATGCTTGTCACTTGGCAATGAGGCTACACACTTAAAAAGGGAAGTTATATTCTTCAAGACCTTTGTGGTGCCTGACTTAGGTATTTTAGCAGCTGGATAAGAAAGGGGAGGGGAACATCTTTATTTATCCAAAAGGAGACAGCCCAGTAGAGTTAAAAACAGTGACTCCAGTTGGACAAACTTGTCCTAACACTTCTTTTTCCCCCTGGCTATGTGATCCTGGGCAAATCACCTTCTGTTCCTCAAGTTCTTCATTTTTAATGGAAGAACTTGCCTCTCAAGATTTAAGTAAATGTATGTGAAATATTAGTATTATGATTGATCCTGACTACAGCATTTACCGAATAATAGCTAATAACAAAAGTAATAATTTTGTAGACTTTCACACAAATGGAAGAATTCCTAAACATCCAGAAAACAGACCCGGTGTTGGACAGTTTCCTCACTCTTAGGCAGCATTAGCTAATTGCAACCACATTAGCTAGATAAAACCATCTCTAAAATAGGTTTTAATAGGGCTTATAGTGCTGGTTACTTTCAGAATCTTCAAATCAGATCATCTGATTGATGGAAGACAAATGAGGCCTGAATAATCTAATAATCTAATCTGTATTTATAAATAAGGTGATGATTTAATGCAGATTACTTAGGGGAAAGATCACTTTTTTCTTTTACTCTGTGTAATCAAGAGCATGCTGTACAGCTGCTCCTAAGGATGAGAAAGAAAGCTGTGTGATGCTTTTGATTTTAAATAAGCAAAATAGGATACGTGTAAAACAGAATAAAACTGAATAAATGGTCATTCTGAATTATCAAGATACTTTTGAAAGGATAGTGGCAGTCTGAACTATGTTCTCAAAATCTGTTGAACTATAAATAATTCATACATGTTCTTATAATTATTTCTAGTAGACTCAGGAGTGTATTAGGCTCTTTTCCCGCCCCCATGGAAATGGCAGTTTCTTCTTTTTCTTGCCTGGCCTGCCTTTCCCAGACTTCAATCCTCCCTATCCTTAGATTCCCTGAAGTTATTTGACATATTACAATACATTATTATTAGGCTGTCATGTTATCACTTTTTTCCATTTACCTTATAACATTAAAATTGCTTGCATGTATCTGTCAGTTTTTTTCTTTTTTAAAAAAATATTTTTATTTTATTTATTTTTATGTGGTGCTGAGGATCGAAGCCCATGCCTTGCACATGCTAGGCAAGCACTCTACCACTGAGCCACAACCTCAGCCCCCTTTCAGTTATTTTCTTACTCACTTTTGTGTGTTCAGTGTATAAAAGGGCTAATACAAGATGCTTGATAAAGTTTTGCTGAATGTATTAATGCCTATTCAGTAAATTTTTCTTATTTGTATTCATTCCAAGTAAACTATAACTCTTAAGTAGAAAACCGCATTTTACTGTTCATTACCTAATACTATAGCACATAGTTAAACACTATTTGCCAGATTGCTGCATAGCCTGGTTGCTAATATCCAGTATCTTGGAAATATTTTTTTGGGGTTCATTCAGCAGGTATAAAATCTTTACTACTACTTTATCCTTAGGTGTACTATTAAATATTTATGATATGATCCCCAAGATGTTCATTAAGTTTAAATCTTATTGTGGGAAAAATTACTACAAAGGCTCTCATCAGGTACAGGTCTTCCATCAGTGATCAATATTTGATGGATTCTGTAGGCAGTAACAAACCTTAAAATGCATGTTTTAGTTGAATAAACAAATTGAGTGGTTCAGTTGAACGTACCGTACTATAATATACCTTTAGCTCTTATTAACTATGAGTCCCTGAAGTTAATTTCAGAGTTTATTCCAGGATAGGGAGTTGAAATTGTATGGGAATTCATATACCATATCAGCTTCTTGCTTAAACCAATTAGAAAAGAACGGGTTCTGGGATTAAGACTCTCATTAAAATTACTGAAATATGAAATTTTAATTTAAGACTTTTTTGAAGACTTGAAAGCTTTTGCCTATTGGCATTTAATTTTGTTTTTATTTTTTTTCCTTTAGTTTTAATTTTGGTTGCTGTTACTACTGATATCTGAGCCAAAGTGGTGCTAACTGAGGGAATCTCTGCAACTTGTAAGTCAACAATTACACGGTAAGAATACGTGTCTTTACCTTTAAAGCCATTTCATTTCTATAACATTATAGTTTAGAAATTTAATTGGAAATAGGATAGCATAAAATAATATTTTTGAATATTTACTATTCAATTTTAACATATTTTAATATAATAACAGATTATATTTTAGAGCTTTTTATCCTAATCGATAATTAGGACATTAAAAGAGAAAACATATAACTTGATATATTTATTTCATGTTAATTTTTTATGGCCTAGTAAACAGATCTTATTTACTTCCCTATGTTCTTTGTTAGTTTGCTTTTTATTTTTTGCAGTTTAGCCAATTCTTTGTTGTCTGAATCTTGCTAATAATGAATCTGTTTAAGAAGTCAAGATTTAAAAACAAACTAGTCAATTTTACTATAATTCATTCTGAACTGAGGTTGTGGTAATTCCAACTATAGGCTAAAATGAGGTATTTTAATTATTTGTGGATTTCATTGATATATTTTGCTGTATTTATTTATTTTATTTATTTAGTGTACCAGGAATTGAACCCGGGGCCCTTAACCACTGAGCAACATCCCAAGCCTTTTCTTATTTTTTATTTTGAGATGAGGTCTCATCAAGTTGATTAGGGCTTGATAAATTTCTGAGGCTGGCTTTGGACTTGGGATTCTTCACCCTTACCTCCCAAGTCACTGGATTACAGGTGTGCACATCCACACCCAGCTATATTGCTCCATCTTTGAGAATTGAGGAGTAATGAGACATTTGAGAATAGTAGGGCAAGTCATTCCCTTCAGCTCCAACTTCTCCATGTGCAAAATAATATCATTTGTCTTGCTACATATAGAATTGTAGAAATCAAATGAGATGCTACATGTGGAATACTTTTAATTTTTTTTCTTTTCTTTTTGAAGTGAAGGGAGCGAATAACAAGTCTTGTTTTGAGACAGTATTGAGAAAAAACATGATAGTAGAAAGGATGCCATACAAGAAGCTGAATGACTCTAATTTGGTCATGTCATTATAGTTCTTTAACATAGGAAAATCGAGTTTGATTTCTATTCTTTCTTTTTAGAGGTAATTTTTTTAAGGAATATATCTGTGTTCTCTAACTATAGTAGAATTAAGCTAGAAATCAGATTCAGATAATTGGGAAATCCCCAGGCATTTCAAAATAATCATCATATTCTGAAAACTCATAGGCCAAAGAATAAGTCATAAAGGAATAAAAAAAAATAAAAATGAAAACATAGTATATCAATCTGAGAGTTACACCTAAAGGACTACTCTTAGGTGAAATTTGTAGTGTTAAATGCTCATATTAGAAAAGAAAAGGTTTGAAGCAGTTATCTAAGCTTTTACCTTAAGAAACTAGAAACTAAAGAACAAGTTACACCCAGAAAAAGAAGAGGAAGGAACGGACAGAGAGTAAAGTCAATGAAATGGAAAACAGCAACAAAAAATGTATATTTAAAAAAATTCATTGAGGGGCTGGAGTTATAGTTCAGTGGTAGGGCACTTTCCAGTGTGAGGCGCTGGATTCGATCCTCAGCACCACATGAAAATAAATAAATAAGGGGAGGGGATTTTGGCTTAGTGGTAGAGCACTCACCTAGCACATGCAAGTCCCTGCTTTTGATCCTTAGCACCACATAAAAACAAATTTGGGGCTGGGGTTGTGGCTCACCGGTAAGTGCTTGCCTAGCACATGTGAGACGCTGGGTTTGATCCTCAGCACCACATAAAAATAAATAAAATAAGGATATTGTGTTCATCTATAACTAAATATTATATTTTTAAAAGGAGGAGTTTTTTAAAAAAAGGTATGAAACCAAACTGGTTAATTGATACAGAGTAAAATTGATAAGCCTCTAATCAGACTAATAAGGAACAAAGAAACAGAAATTCCTATTACCAGAAAAGAAAGTGACACAGCACTACAGATTCTATAGATATTAAAAGGACAGTAAAGGGATATTATCTTGTAATGCATTTGATAACTTAGATAAATGGGCAGATTCCATCAAAGACACAAACTTTGGGGACTGATGTGGTGCCTCAGTGGTAGAGCTCTTGCCTAGCATGTGTGAGGCACTGAGTTTGATTCTCAGCCCCACATATAAATAAATAAAATAAAGATCCATTTTCAACTAAAAATTATTGGGAGAAAAAAAAATACAAACTTCCAAATTATTGTCAAGAAATCATGGATAAGTCTCCATTAAGGAAGTTGAACTTGTACTTCAAAACTCTCCTACAAAGAAAGTTTTAGTTATAGATGAACACAATATCTTTATTTTATTTATTTTTATGTGGTGCTGAGGATCGAACCCAGCGTCTCGCATGTGCTAGGCAAGCACCTACCGCCTAAGCTTACATGGCTTAACTGGTGAATTCTGCCCACCTCTGATACTAATTAAGCACAAACTCTTCAAAAAATGAAAGGGAGAGACATGATGTTATTTTACAAGTATTTCCCTGATACAAAAAGATGTTATTGAATAAAATATTAGTAAATTGAATACAATTAATGTTACTAAACTAAGTCTAGCTGCTCATCTAACAGCAGGGTAGTTAAGTCAAGAGACAAAGTGTTAAGGCAAGGAAGGTGAATTTATTTTGAAAATCAGCTAAAGGAGAAGATAGAAGACTTGTCACAAAGCCCATCTCTATAGAAGCTGATGTAGGGTGCTTTTTGCAGGTGCTTTATAGGTATCTTCCCATAGAGGGTGGGCCAGATACTTGCTATCTGATCCTTCTTGCCTAGTCATGAAATGTTTTTAAGTTCTTCAGATCTCAAAAACAGAGATCATTTTTTCCTCAGGCTATTTCTGTCACCAGTTATTTACATGTTACACATTGTATAAGCTAGAGGCTGGGTAGTTTCCTAAAGGCCATCTTGTTCATTGCCAAATTCCCAATAATGAAAGAAAACATCCTTAGTGCTTGGTCTCATTAGTTATGTACTACAAACTTCTGGAAATGAATGAAAACATTCTGAATGCTCAATTCATTAATATGAAAAGGATAATCCATCCTGGGTAAGTGCCATTTATTTTATAAGTGAAAGATTGGTTCAGTATTTGAAAATTATAGTTGAAAATATTAACAGAATGATCAACAGAATTGTAAAAAACCATATGGTCATCTTCATAAATGCATAGGAAAAGGCGTATAACAATACTCATTATCAATTCATGATAAAAGCTTAGAAAGATAGGATTAGAAGGCAAACTCTCACAAACTTAGAAATACAAGCTTTCTCAACTTGATATATCAAGAGATCTATGTAAAACTGTAGCTAATATTGTAATTATTGGTAAAAGACTAATGCTTTCACCTAACATGAGGTGCAAAGCAAGGGTGGTCACTGTCATTACTGTTCAATATAGTACTATTAATATAATAAAGCAAGAGAAAGAAATGGCATTCTGTTAAGGAAAGACAAATAACAAATCAAATTCACAATTCACTTAGCAAGGAAGTCTAGGAAATGATGATTTAGACTTTAAGCCTCATGTAAGGAGGCGCACAGAAGGAGTTGGGAATTGATGCTGAATGCTACAGTTACCAATCAGTCAGGGGTTCTTTTGCTTGGTTTGGATAGAAATCATGAAAAGGTAAAGTGCATCTTAGTGTTACCAGCTCTGAGTGCCAGCATCCCTTTACCCTTAGTGTAATCTTATCCTCAAGGTGTTAATAGCTGTCCCAGCCACTCCTGGCAGTGCCTTTGCAGCCAGGGTAGTATCCCCTGGCAGCTTTCAGGAGCATATCTAGTGATCAGAGCTAGCGGCTTCTAGCTGCTTTTTCTCACCTTCTTCACAGCTCTCCATTGCTCTCCAGAGCTTTAAGCAGCTCTCTGGCTTTTACGCATTCTATAGGGCTAGTAGATCTTGTTATCAGCTTTTAATGCAAGCAGCTCATCTATTCTTTTTTTTTTACCCCAAATAGAGATCATGCACCGTAGTGGAACCATCCCAACAAGTCTTTATTGGAAACTATATTCCAGCATAGGGGGTCTATAAACAGGACGCAGGTCTCAGACTGGCCTGATGAGGAAGTTTGCTTCTTAGCCAAACAGGGATAGGTTAATACACGTGCACAGTCTCCTGTGGACTAAACTCAGGCTTTCTGCTTAGTCAGGCCAGCCTGCACAGGTATATTAGGCTCACCTGTTTTGGCTGTTGTGGGCTGGGGAGGTGCTCCTTTTCTGCCAGAATGGGGTCAGCTGAAGGTGGGTGGAGGCATCCAAAGTGGCTACAGGTTGGAGACCTCCTGGGTGACTGACTGTAGGTTGTCTGAAGCTACTATAGCTGAAGCCACATCTCCTGGAACCACTTCAGGACAGCTGAGCCTGCAGCTATC